ACACACACACACACACACACACACACACCTGCCAACCCCAACCCATGAAAAGGTGTACAGCTGATGTTCAAAAAGTGTAAGATTAACTTCTAAGAAAAAAAAGTGTACAATCCTGAAACGGAAGGAATTTTTATAAGTCGGGCCTACCTAAAACAAATGTCTTTAAACGACGTAGAATATTCTTCTCTCCAGGTTATATTTGGGTTTCTTTGAAGGGGGCTCCATTTTATTATAGGCCTAGCTACTACTAGATTCTAAATCTCTAGCTTTTATAAGCCTAGAACTATCTAGAGTCCAATCTAGATCTAGAATCTAGATCTAGATCTAGATCAAGTTAAGACCCACTGGGACTGAAAGTCTACTAGACAAAAACATGAATTGACTGTCGAATTCTGGTTTCTAGTTCTACCCTAGATCTACAAGCCTTGGCATCACCAGTCACACCACAGCCACACAAGTCATGTGGAATTTAGAATTTAAATAGATCCATCTAGAATCTAGATTTAGATTCTAGCTACATCTAGAGATCCTCCAAATGAAATCCGACTGTTCCACCGAAATCACATATTCCTTCACAAACAGGACTAGACCTAGATGTTTAGACTTTAGATTTAGAGAGCACAATCACAGCGAGTTGAGCAGAGATAGGTAGATCTTTAAGACACTTCATGATCACACAGGTCTAGACCTAGATCTAGCCTAAAATCCGTATCGCAACTTTTTTCGCGACTGATGCGACTGACTGAACATTGAGCAGTGCGACGGACAGTAGGCCTTGACAAAGAACCAGGCTGACTCGTGACTCCATCTGTCTTCAATTTTGAAGAGATACAAACAGTAGCCTAGTCTAGTTAAGTAGCCTAATAATCACGAAAGTAATCGAGCCACACACGATTCCGGCCTTCAGTACACTACAGTACTGTGTAATAGTATCGGCTTTGAGTATTACCCATGACTTCGATACCAGCGCTTTTTCGACGACCGGCTGACAACGAGTACAGTCCGTGCCGGCTTTAAGCATGCCGGCATAAAGCACGTTTCGGACTCAAGCGTGCTAAACGGCTCTTACCGAATTTTTGCTATATAAATTACACGCCTTTAAGCGCAGTAACTTCGGCATAAGGCACGCTTCATTTACAAGACAGTCAATACTTTCATGATGACCCATCGAAGTTCGAACACAGTCTACACCGCAGCAGTGGAGTGTGTTAAGAAAAACACAAAGTGAAAGAAAGCAAGTGACGGAGACACACACTCACACGGGCGGAGAGGAAGGCAGAGATATGCACCACACCGCGCGCTTGGACATAAGATCTAGCCTTGGGCAAAGCTACCCGCAGACAAAAAAATACAAAGAGAGTCGGGGAGACGAGAAAGGGAGACTGGCTGCGATTTCACCTTTGACCCTCGCTATCCATTAATCCCAAGGAGATTAAAAGTAAGTTTTAAGCTCCTTGATTAATCCTGATTGTGTATCACCTGCAAGGTGGGATGAAGGCAGTGGTGTGAATGTGGCACAGCGGACAGTGGTACACACAGGCACAGTGCGTAGGCCACGTGTGCTGTATCGCGACTGGTCGTCTTAATTAAGTTTTCATTTCCCATTCGATCACAAAACAAAAACAAACATGCAAACAAAAACTACCATGACGGGTAAAAATAACAGTGCACACTTTTTCAGGACCGCTATACATGAAAATCTCTGGATTATGTCTATTTCGCACTCAAGCACGCTTCGACATTAAGCACGCACAAAGCTTTGTCCCAATGACCGTGCTTAAAGCCGGCATGGACTGTACCGGCGTGGCTCCGTCCATTGAGGAAAAGCTAACCCGAATCGATGAAAAGGTGTGCAAGCGTACAACGGCTGAAAAAAGCGTAAGATTGCGCTTTTTTGGCAAAGGTTGGCAGTTCTGCACACACACACACACACACCAACAAGACCATCACCTGGATCAGGAGAACAGGCCCGTAACAAAGCCTGCAGACATCTTCTCTCTCTCTCTCTCTCTCTCTCTCTCTCTCTCTCTCTCTCTCTCTCTCTCTCTCCCACACATACACATACATACACACACACCCATGTTCTATCCCTCTCATATACACACACACACTCATTCACACACACACACACATACACATTTTATCTCTCTCTGTCTCTCTCTCTCTGTCTCTCTTTCTCTCACACACACACACATGTTCTCTCTCTCTCTCTCTCTATCTATCTATCTATCTATCTATCTATCTATCTATCTATCTATCTATCTATCT